GTCCTCAAGAAAAGCTAATATCGAGAATCATGTCAACATGTTTAGAGAGAGAGGTGTTGATAAAAACAAAATACATACATAGTAGCATCATGATCATTATTATAACATCAATAGACTTTATCATAAAACTTTTCATGAGCAAGTAACATTTCATCACAACATTTAAGTATAAAGCATAAACTTTCTTGAAAACTAACAAACCATGTTTTCAATCAACAATGCAATTGCAATTCATCATATTTTCAGGAAGGGTATCATGTCAGATCTTTTTAGCAAGTCCACATACTCAACCATCATTTAGTCTTATATGATTGCTAACACTCACAACATATATATGGAGCAGAAAGTTTCAGCCGGACACGTAGAAAGATATGGGCTTATAGTTTTGCCACCCAACTTATTCGCCTCAAGGGTGATGTCAACTATAATAACTCATGATCACTCATATCCAACTGGATAAATATGCCTAGATCTTTCCCCACCACATGATGCTTGCAAAAGAGAAAAATAAAAGGAATATAAGGGAGAATACTATTGACACTTACATAAAAGTAAAAGATAGGCCCTTCGTAGAGGGAACCAGAGGTTGTCATGCACTTTTTGATTTTAGATGCACAATCTCTTAATGCAAAGGAATGTCACATTATATTGCCCCTTATGATAGCAACCTTTATTATGCAGTCCATCGCTTTTATTACTTTGCCATCACTAGTTCGTACAACGCATATTTTCCTTTACAATAAAAGATCAAACATATTTAGAAGCAATTTTGATGCACCGATGACAACTTACTTGAAGGATCTTATTCAATTCATAGGTAGGTATAGTGGACTCTCATAACATGAAAGTGGGTTTAAGGTTTTTGGATGCACAAGTAGTATCTCTACTTGGTGCGGATTTTTGGCTAGCAAAGATATTGGGCAAGCACCACATGTTGAAGGATCTATGACAATATAACTTCTATGTGAATATGAACAAACATAAATCATTATGTTGTCTTCCTTGTCTGACGTCAAAATTTTGACATAAAATACTTAATGGGGGCTCGCGATCATAAAATATGTCCAAGATGGTATATTTGCATGTGAATCGTCTCTTCCCTTATTAATTATTTCACGAATTGCATCACTGACCAATGCTATGTTTGTCAACTTTCAATAAATTTTACCACTTATACTTTTCCTTATGTAATGCCATTACTTTCCGTAAGATTAGCATATGATCTTTTTCCTTATTTTCTTTATTTTGATTGAAACATAAAAGTAAAGAAACAAAAACTCAAACTAATCTTTATTATATAACTCTCAACTCGAATACATAGATAGATAGATCACGAAACTAGCACTCGAAAATAGATCATACTGAACTTTTATTCAACTAAATCACTAAATAACTAAGGATCGAACTAAGATAGGTAAATATAATAAAAGTGATGGTGATACGATACCGGGGCATCTCCCCAAGCTTGTTGAAAGCCAAGGGGAGTGCCCATACCCGTTTACTCAAGTTTTCTTCTTTGGAGATGATGGTGGTGAAGAGGTGGCCTTCTTCTCTAGCTTACTTTTGAGAATAAAATTTTCCTCCCTCAAGTCATAATTCTCCTACTCAAGCTTCAATATCTTTTTGCATAATGCCTATTTTCTTTCCTGCAGAAAATGAGACGGGATAAACTAGATTTTATATTTATTTGCTCCATTTGGGAGACTTGACTTCTTGAATTCCACGTGCATATCCCCAGGTTGAGGTAGTGGAACTTCATCCTTATCTGAGCTGGCATTCCTCGTTTCCTTCAAGTCATCATCTTCTTCTTCCTCCATGGTCCAACCATAATGATCCATGTCTCCATAAACCCCTGGGTTTGCGATATAGTGGGCGACATAACTCTCTCCATCTGAATCTTGAGA